TCAGCTCAAACCATACAGCTTGCCATCGCTAGCACTGTCTGGCAAGCTTTCCGCTGCTTGTCCTGCTGGTACCACCCTACCCATTAGGGCTTTGGGTTGCAGCAGTAAACATCTACCTCGGGAACATGTATGTGAAATGTTCAGCCTGATCGGGATATTATTAAGCACGGCGATGGGTTTTTGCACGTGTCGGATATCTGGCTGAGACCAAAAGAAACGCCCAAAGCATATTTTCACCCCAAAGGAAATTGATGAGTGAAACCTGGAACACCATTGCATGATAGTCTGTGTGTCAGAGGTAGAGTGACTTGTTCTCAGGAGAAGAGACTGAAGCCCTATACTTCACGTAAAGCCTAGAAAACAGGAGTGGCTAACAGTTTGGGAGTGATTCAGACACTTTTCCCCCCTGAGTAATGCACATTTTGCTCGAAAGAGGGCACTATAGAACAAGAATCTGCACTTGACAAGGAAGGAAACAGAGTAGTTTAGAATTGCTCTTAACTATGATCTATGAATCTTTGTAATGTGAGCTCTGGGCAACACATTTCACACTGATTCCCTATATATTGCACAGTAGGTCTATAAATCTAAACACACCGCATGAATATGCAATAGATACAGATGAGCCAAATTATAGCCCACTTGTTAGGAACTTTTTAGAGCTTTTATCCTTTATTCACCCCTTTCCCTGCAATTAATTACCATCTATTTGACTTTAAAGAGACAGGTGATATAAGAATCGTACATGCGCATTGTTTAAGTCCAGGGTAGGTTCAGTGGCTGGGTGGGGGGAAGGAATAAACCTTTATAAATTATTTGTGATTTATGCTTTACACAAATATATATTATATATAAAACTCAAAGCCAGAGAGAGAAAGAAAGGGGGAGGGATGGGGAGCACATTAAAAAGAAAATGAGAGTTCAAGGTTAGGACTGAGATAAATAACTAACACGTTTCAAGATGGATGAAAAATTAACGGGTCGTAGTGTGGTTAGTGCTTTCCTGTGTGTAACCTTTACCGTGTTTTTCCTCGGCTAAGTGTCTGGCTGCCAGTTTGGCGATGTGGGATCATTGTTATTTACCTAAAGTACAGCAGGAGGCAGGTTAAATCCCACCAAACAACAGGGCGGGGTGGGAATATGTGCTTTTGAGAATGGGGGTGACAGACCTATGAATGGGCAAACTCAGTCTCTCACACTTGCAGCGCACACTAACACACACACACCGCACACACTAACACATACACACAGCACACACTAACACATACACACCGCACACACTAACACATACACACCGCACACACTAACACATACACACAGCACACACTAACACATACACACAGCACACACTAACACATACACACAGACACTAACACATACACACACACACTAACACATACACACAGTCACTAACACATACACACAGTCACTAACACATACACACAGTCACTAACACATACACACCGCACACACTAACACATACACACCGCACACACTAACACACACACACCGCACACACTAACACATACACACCGCACACACTAACACACACACGCACACACTAACATACACACCGCACACAACACATACACACAGCACACACTAACACATACACACCGCACACACTAACACATACACACAGCACACACTAACACACACACCGCACACTAACACATACACACAGCACACACTAACACATACACACCGCACACACTAACACATACACACTGCACACACTAACACACACACACCGCACACACTAACACATACACACAGCACACACTAACACATACACACAGCACACACTAACACATACACACCGCACACACATACAAATGCAACAACACTCGTGAACATACACCACGCACATGCATGCAACAATGATAAATTGCATTTCTATACCGCCTTTCAAGTAGGGATGGGCACTTATCACACATAAACATACAGCACACACTCACTCACATACATATATATACACACGTGCAGAACATACAGCAAACTTACATATGGACACACACTCACATTTGACCCCAATCTCTACTTTATCCCCAAAAGGAAGGCAACAAAATGCCAAAAGGCTGTAACCTTACACCTCGGACTGACGGGCAAATACAAAAAATATATAAAATGATATTTGTGTAGCGCCTTTCACATCGGGAGGTCGTTCCAAGGCGCTGAACAGTCAGGGATTTGGATAGAGAGGAATATAACTCTCGAGGTAGAGTTGTTGGGGGTTGTTGTCAACAGATATTTCGCTTGTTCCAGACATCTGTTACGTTCAGCACTTCTTAAGGGTTTGTTTTGCCTTCATCCAAATCAAAAACCTTTTAAGATCAATTATTTATTTGACCTTTCGATCTCATTGGAGAAGGTGTAAGTTCTGTGTGATGTTATAACATCTGTCCAATATACTGTAGATTATAATATCACAGACAGACAGACAGAACAGACAGAGACAAACAGACAGACAGACCCAGACTGGTGGTGGAAGACAGACAGA